AAACATACTCACGTATGCCACAGAGTATTAATGTTTTATTTTAAATTCATTAAAAAACTAATACATTAAAGCAAAAACTGTACACTTGTATTGTTCTAACTACATGAATATATTTTGTAATCTTTAAATCAGGTTAAACATAGCTATCTCCTCTGACGTTAATCTTTTCTCTATGGCAATAACATGAGATACACAGTTCATTACCATTATCTGTAGTAACCCTATTGCAGTAGCATGCCACGTCCTACTCCTAGCTAACCATAGCTTAGTGCTCATTGTTCAACCTTTCCTATTCTTCCTTCCCCAATTTGTATATTTCTATCCCCTTAGGCTACTTCTGAGCCTCTTGAAGTCATTTGTGTGTGTGCGTGTGTGTGTAGGTGTGTGTGTGTATATATATATATATACACACACACATATATATTATAAAGGTCATTATTGTAAATTAATTGGAAACTTAATAAGCATTGCGAGCCTACTGTGTCCCAAGCATTACCAAGCACTGGGATATAGAAGGTACTCCATAAATCTTGTTGATTTTCATTTAATTTTATGTTTACATTAATGACTTCCAAAACATCTTTCTCCAGTTTGGTATTCTACCCACCTCAGAGAGTTGCAGTTTATTCACTCCAAAAAGTTACTGCTCAGTAACAAACATTTTATAGGCCATAATTTTTTAATTAGCATGTATATTTAACAAACATTTTATTGGACTTCTACCAGATTATCCACAGAACATTAGACTTTCCTTTGTTTAGCAAAGAGCCCCTAATCTAGAATTAGAATCATCCTCTCTTTAACACTTTGATTGGTGTACATATTTCAGTGGTAATAATTTCCAATTTAGAACAGCTAAAAGATATTGAAAGTTCTGAAAAATGTTTTGGTTTTATTGGTAAAGGGTGGAAAGTACGAGGAAAGTTAGAGGAAGATAAGATTCTCAGAAATATTTAATCTGCTGAAGGATCGATGTGGCTTTTCGTGGTTTTGAGGTTGCATCATCGTTCTGGAAGCAGTAGGCCAGAGTAGGTGGCCAGCAGGGAACACACTACGTGACCCTGGACAAGCTATTCAGGTCCCCTCCATACTCTAAGGTCTTCCCTACCACTGGATCTTGGGAAACCTGGGAAACCCTACACTAATGGTGAGATGTTGAAGATCCATGACTGTTTTCAAAAAGGGATGAACAGAAGGACTGAAGAAATGTTGAAAGGCATATGTGGGGCTGTGAGCCTCTTCTGTTCTTCTGTTATGAGAGAGAGAGGAGAGAGAGAGAGAGAGGGAGAGAAAATGAATACGTATTTGAGTTCAGCATTATGTCCAGTGAAATCTGAAGGAGGCAAACACAGAAATGTAGAGAATATAGATTCTGATTGAAGAAGAGAAAATGAAAAGTAGAGGGAATAAGGAAGGACTATTTGGGCCAATTGCCTTCAAGATCTATTCCCCTCTATTCTTCATAGCACCAAAATCTGCCCAGATTGGAGACCCAGTGTGCAGGGCAGCTTATAGTCTTGTTCTCTTCAAACCTGTATGTTAAAGTCTGCAGCCTGCAGGAAGGTGATTTCCCTGAGCCAGCTAGTCTCTGCTGCCTTGGAACATGGAGAAACAGCAGGGCCCACTTCCCTTTGGGGGAGCATGAGGTGACGGCATCTGCATAGGGATTCTCAAGTGGGCATGGACCCTTCCATGTCCAGTAGCTCCCTGGTCATTTTTAGATGCTTCCCAGGGTTAGGCAGAGTTTAATTAAGTCCATTTTCTTGCTTTCTTCTTGAGAGTTAGTCCATTAAAATATAAATCATTTTTAAATGATACTCTGTGCTTAATAGTATCTTTTGTTTTTTGAGCTTGTAGGAGGTGTCTAAACCAGGGCTTAATGCTTGAGATGATAAAATCTTTGCAGTGATTCTATGAGACACATGGTTTTATTGTAGTTTTTAAGATCAAGATGCAAGACTCTAAGAGTTAAGTAATTTCATACGAGATCACAGGATTAGTGAGAGACAAAGCCATGATTCACTATAACATATTATGCACACACACACACACATACACACACACACACAGACACACACACACAGTAGGGAGTGAGACTGGGTAAACATGATGGAAGTGGTTAAAGAAAACCTTTGAGCATAAAGTAATTTGACCTAGGTGGTAAATTGGAAGGTTTTAGATGTGGTCTGAATAATTCCTCCTCTGAAGTCAATCACAATAGCAGTTCTTTTCTGGCTTTTCTGCTGTGACTCCCTGGTCACTTTCTCTCCCAGCAGTTAGAGCTAAGTGTCCGATATGATATAGGGGGACATAAGAGTGAAGAGCAGATTGTGGTGTTACAATTTACAGCTGGAAAAGTAAACTTTGTGTTGCTCACCTGCTGAGGGGCCACCTCTGTGTTTTGGGGCCACGGAGTATGCTGTTCTGCTGCAGGAAAGGCACAGGCTTAGGTGGATGGAGAAAGACCTATCGCTGGGTGCCCATAAGCACTGGATCATCTTAGAAAGTGGAATTGTTACAAAAGACAAATGTGTGACTCACACTGAACATTCACTTTGGCTGGCTCTCAAATGTGGCTTTCTTTTTTTTTCTTTCATACTAGAAATCGAACTCGGGTCCTTGTGCTTGCAAGACAGGCAGTGGAACCGCTGAGCTAAATCCCTAGCCCTTAATGTGGGTTTTTTAATACTTGTTTTTTTCAACTGAAGAAGTTGGTCTACAGTTGTTGAAAATGGGAAGAAAAAGTGAAATTTGAGCAAAAAATGAAAATAAAAAAAGAATATAGTTTCTCAAGTGGAGATGCCATTGTGCTAACTGCATACTTTCTTAGGGATGGAAGAGACTTTTATTCTTTCTCCACTGGACCCAAAGTTTAGCACCAAATGGCTGGGAAGGGGTTATTTGGTACCATTTTGTAGTTGATGTAAGGAAACATGATAAGGCTCATATACAGTTTACAGCTTCTGAAATGAGGCGAGGCTTGCAGTGTGCCTACTAAAAACAGCTCTCACCTGCCTCTTGTGTCATTCATACATCTAGACTTTTGTAAGTAGGAGGTAGCTTTAGAGGGAAGTGTAGAATCTGGGGAGGAGCTGGTCTGGATATATAGTGCATAAGTAAGAACCTCCTTCAACATCTTAGAACTAAAATGCAATATAGTATAAATACTGGAAGGCATTTGTCAGGGAGCCCAAAGCAGAAAAAGCTCAGGCTGTAAGCAGAATAATATAATTTATCATTTTCATGTAACTCTTGTACTCTAGGCCTGGAAAGTGGCCAATATTGTACCCTCTTTGATAGAACTGTGGAAAGAGAAAGGTTGTGCTGCTAAGTTATAAGTCACTGAGTCTTGCCTCGATTCCGGAAAAAAAGGCATAACAATTCATGGGAGACAGGGGTGAAGATTTTTAGAGACTCTAGGCAGAGTCCAGACTGCAAGCGTGGTCCTTTGCAGTTTCTTTACTTCCATTTTGGGAGATTGGGAGCAAGTTGGAGGACAGTGTGGGAATCCCTAAATATGTTCGTTAAGATTTTGTGAAAGCTGTTCTGGACCAAAAAGAAATAGGACGAAGGGGTAAAATTCTGTTTTTCAGTACTCTCAGTGTTAAATCTAAATTAATAGGCATGAGGCAAAGGGCAGAAATAAATAACTGAGTTTTATACAGGAAGAAATTAGCAGATTATTCTTGCATTTAACAGTAGAAGCAGCAAGGGCAGTATGTTAATCAGTTACCTGGAAGAGCAGAGTGACCCTGATGGAAATGCAGCATCTGGTGTTTCTGGCTAACCAAGACTCAGTTTCTTTGTGGGTTCAAGTATGACAGTGGTCAGTGTCAGTAGGCAGTTGTCCAGGATGGAGCCATCATAGCTGCCCCACCTGTCATGTGTTACTGAAATTTGCCATCAAGTTCAAAATTGCCTTTCCTAGGCAAGCGAAGAAGGCTGCTGAACCTGAGCCATCAGTTCCTCTGGCGTTTACTACAAGCGTAGTGCATTCTAAGCCATGAAAAGCACAGTGAGGAAGACACAAAAGAAGTAGAATCTCTGCCTCTGCTCAGGAGCATGTAATTTAGTTGGGGAGACAAAACTTAAATGCTAGAACCAATAAGAGAAGATTACAAAGCAACCTTGCAAGTAAGTGTATAATAGCTAAGGGACAAGAGGGCACATGGAGGCAGGGGAGTGAGCACAACACATCAGCTCCAGAGTAGTAGGAAAGGCATGTTGTCTAACAGTTGTATATCACACAGTTGTATTTTTTTCCTGCAGCAATGAAGAGGAATAATATGTGATAAGAAATTCATATATACTACATTGATCTCTTCCCCCTTGTTTGAGAAGTCTTTTGGGCTATCACAGATGGAAATTAAATTGATCCAACAATTTGCTCTCCACAAAGCCATGTTGGTTTCTACCTAGTAATTTATGCCATTCCTGGTGTTTGCAAATCGATTGCTATTATGGGATGTAGACAAATCTGGGCCGGGTTCCAGAAGTTTGGGGGATTTTTGGAGTGGATATGCGTTCATGTGTGTGAAATTCTGGAAAAGCAGGCTCTCTTTCCTGTATATTTTACTATTTGAATATAAACATATTTCCAGGTTTTAAAAAGCATGTTTAATTATCTTCAGATTGGATTTTTAAGGCAGTGTGTCTGCTTTACTTCATATTTCTACTGACTGACCTTGATATTTGCTTAACCTTCAAACTATCTTTAGTGGTTTTGTAGCCAGAACTTTTGTTTCAAAAAATTCTCTCTCTATCTCAAGAATGTTATAGAGCAACACTTTTTAAATTTCCTTTTGACGTAGAAATAAGTATAGATGCTCATTTAGTTTGATGAATAAAATGTTCCTATCAAAAGGCTTGGGAAAATATGCTTTATTTAAACATTCAACCTCATTGTTGTACCTTTAAATTTTTTTTAAAGTCCTTCTGAGGATTGTGAAATTCTTTCAAAACAAATTAAAAAGAAAACATTTTCTGTGATTTCTTTATAGATTCTGGACAATCAGGAAGTCCAAGCCACAATGATCCTGCCAAGAATCCTCCAGGTAAATATGTGTTCCAGGACGCTTGCAATCTGACATTGTTGGAGAACAAAGGTACCACTGTATAGATAAACACCCCCTGATTGGTCAGGTGCCTGTTTGGTTCTGGCAGGCAGGTATGATTGGGACAAGATGTGATTGTGTTAGAGGCCTCCACAGTGGCAAATGCTTCTATATTTGCGTCACTTAACCTAATCACCAATGCTTTAATTTTTGTTGGTATTTCTTTAAAATGTATTTTAGTTGTGTATCTTATAGGGACTAAAAGTCATTGCTGTTTGAAAGCCAAAAAATCTTTTAATCTTTATTTTTCAAACACAAGAAAAAGTAAAAATTTCCACACTTCTACTGAAGTTTATCAAATCTCATTACTTAAAAGGGGAGCAGAGCTGGTGGTTGGTTATGTTTTTACTGGAGGATTTTTTTTGCAAGAATTTTTACCCCATAAGGTTTTTTTATTGGATCCTGAGAATCAGAAAATAATGAAAGTAGGATTTTTCTCTATTTCAAAGTATGCCAAATACCCTGTTTATTTTCAGAAGTTGTTCCAGATCTGAAAATGGGCTTTTATAACTTGGCCATCTTCATAGTTTTGTTGCTCCAAAATAGAACATATAGAACATATAGAATTTTGCTTTTGATTTATGAGCTGTGTTTTTTTCCACATGAGAAAATAATATAAAACTAGTGCAAGGAAGGATTTTTAAGTTTTCATTACTAGAATTTTAATTATACCTGTGAATTTGGTAAAAAAAAAAAAGTCATTAAAAAAAAGCTAAAGAAAACCAAAGATAACAAACAAAAACCAAGGCAGCCAAACATGCCCTCTACCTCCCCATATCTGTTTTTTCAATGAAAATAAATTACAGAGTCTACAAAAAAAAAAAATCATAAATGTAAGTTTCAGGTGACTTCGTTTTAGGTACTTGTTTGCTTAATTGTTTGTTCAGGTGAAATACCCGAACAACCTCAAAATTGTGTGAGAATATATTAGCACAATATTCTCTTGTAAAACTATTGGAAAACACAACTACATATGCAAGTAAAAGATATGAAATCCAAAAGCAATTATTAGTTTTTGAGTCTTGCCTGTATTTTGTTCTTTATTTTTACCTTAGAAAAATTATCTTTTTTGCAAGTACTTACTAATTTATTCTGCATTGTACAAAATCATATTGTTTGACAAAAGTGGCATGTACTTCAAAGATAAAAAGTTCTAATTAAATTCATATTTAAAATATATATCAAGTTGATTTGTGTTTATTCACAAATCTGATATTGTTACAAACTGAGAGGAAAACAAAAAACTGAACAGTTTTAAATATAATTTTGTTACATTTATTATTTTATTTTTTGTGCAGATTAGAATTATTTCCAAAATGTCTCTTAGAGTGAATTGTATCCAAACATTTTTTTTTAAAGCCTCTTCAGTCATCTTACAAAGAATGGGATGAAAAAAAAAACCTTTGTAGGAAAAGAGTTGATAAGTGTTATAAGTCGGGCTACACAAAGTCTATATTCTTAGCATTTGAACGACATTTTGATTGAAATTAATAAAGCAGTTATTGTTGAAAAGCAATTCTGAACATGTACAGAAGGAATTACGTTCACCTAAAAGTGTTCTTTACTTGGGGTAAAGCTGGGTAAATAACCTTTATTTAGTTATTTAATATCAGAATCTGATTTTTAATATTTGTCAAAAGCTTGGTTAAGTTTAATATTAATAGCGCATTTCTTAATTTTTGTATTTTCATATAATATGGCAAAGAAATAGCTAAGAAGGACACCTCTAGTTGTTTGCTGTTTTGAAGTTTTCTTGAAAATAAAACTTTTTTGAAGACTATATCAAGAAACTGAGATGTAGCTGGGCATGGAGGTTCATGTCTGTAATCCCAGTACTCTGGAGGCTAAAGTGGGAGGACCGCAAGTTCGAGCCCAACTTTGGCAACTTAGCTCAACTGTCTCATTTGAAACAAACAAGACCAACAAGCAAAAACAAAACAAACAGATATTATAGGTAAAATACTTTTACGATTTGTTAAAAATGTTCATATACAAATCGTGCATTTGTCACTAGTTTAAAAAACCAAATAAAATAGAATATAATAAAATCCAATATCAAAATGAGATGGATTACAATTGGAATTTTCTTTAACCATTCAAAAGTAGTCCATCATTTTAACATGGTTTGTGAATCATCATATTGTGGATTTAACCATAGAGCTTATTAAGAATTTTTTTTTTTAATGAAAGAGTTTGTTCTTTGAACCTTGAAATAAATCAGGCCACTAGTAATACAGAATTTTTAAATGCTCAAAATCACAACTTATTAAGGTTTCTGTGTATAGTGAGTTGTGATAAATTATACTTATTATTAAAATGTTCTTTATAAGCATCTTTGGTATTTTGGAGCATAATTTGTCTTTAGGAGACTCTTCATCTTTTTATTCTGGCCTTGGTTGAAACATGAAATCTCCAGGATTGAGATTCAGTATCTCAAGAAAGCACACAATATTTAAGGGGAAATTTAATGTAGTGCATCATGCAGTGAAGCAGTGGAGTTGCTCTGCTGCTTGTACTGTCACTGAAAAGAGAAGCCAACCTTCTGAGGAAGATCTCCTCGATTACCCACATGTTCTTGTCTCTGGTAGTTTTCTGCTTGGAGATGTGCAACTCTTGAAAATTGCTCCCATCCGTTCCGTTCCTGTGTTTATTTCCCAACACTTTGGGAAAAGATAGTAAAACTTGAAGCCCTTTGGGAGATACTGATTTGCTCTTTGAAATGTGCTTCTGGCTGTGGACAGAAGGTGCAGCCACATCCAGGAGTCCTAGAGGCACAGAGGTATGTGTCCTGCACCCAGAAGTAGCCGCGGCTCTTCCTCACAGTGGGACCCAGCTGCCTGTCTGAGGAACTTCTTCCTTGCTGATTCAGAGTTGCTGAGGGTGACCTTATAGCATTTTAAACTAGATATGGATCTCTACAGATAGCATTTAAAAAAAAATCTTGTGTTTCTCATTGGAATTAGTATCTAAGCACAATTAGACAAAATGATACATTTTACAAGGAGACATTTTTAAAAAACCATGTAAGTAGTTTCTTGGTATGTGTTATTTATAAATGTGTTTACATAGTCTTTATGTTCTTTCCTTAAATTATTTATGACTTAATGTTTTGTTTTTATTCTTTGTTACCTGGCAGAAAAGGGTGTAATAATCTTCTCAGGACTAATGTGTTCTAAGATGCCACCCAAGGACATCGCATTGTTATTTTGGTAGAAGCACTAGGCCACTTCACTTTTTAAATGATGCACATTTCCCTTGCTTAAGATAGAGTCAGAAGTTATATATTTATATTGTTACTTCTTTTCGAATATCAAGTGAATGCAATACCTTTTAAGAAATAAAACTACAAGAGTTCTCTCCCAACTGTAGCAAACAACTATGGTGAACTAAACAAGGATAAATCATTAATTTAGAGACTTTGACTCAGAACTAATTTTATTTCTAATAATTCAAAGCTACACTGCTACTTTTAGGAAATATGTGATTTTTGGGTTGTAATCTTTTGAAAGTAGCTTTGATTTGCTTTTATTATTTTCTGTCTCTGCATTCCTTGTGCTATAATCTTTTAGATTTCCCAAACTGGATTACCTACTTAATGCTAGACTGGTAAATATCCAAGGAAAACAGAGCAACCAAGATGTCAAAGTTTTGCCTCTGAGTCAAAATTTCTCATTTTGAAATTCAGAAAGACTATATAGTTCTGTGTGGAGATTTCTTTTGACTAGTAATATAACAAAGAAATATTGAATCTTAGAACAGTTTTTTGCAGATTTTATAAAATAAACTTTTGTGATATTTCATGTTTCATTGACTAGAACTTTCTGACCTTGAATGTCATGGACTTAACATCTCTTCTTTAGGTAGGTTTCGTCGGGTGTAGGTGATTTTTGTGTGTTGATGTTTTATGAAATGCAGCAAAACTTCTGGTAACTATTAAGACAATATATTAGGTGTAGTTCAAATAAGTCATCTTACGTCCTCTCTGGAATAAGGGTAGAACTAAGTAAATAGTTAAATTAAACAGGGAGGATCTGTTAGTTATAGAAATATGCTTATCTTAGACTTAAATTTCTTAAATTATAAACATTTTTGAGATTGATCTCTCCTCAATTTTATAGGTACTGAAGTTAAAATCAACAGAGGAGTGTCATGAAACTAATAAAATTTAACAAAATAATAATTACAAAAACTAGCGCAGCATCTTCAGTAGTCATCTATTGGGATTACTATTAAGATTGCTTAACTTTTCACTTTATTTTTTCAAATCTTAGAACTTGGGACAAATTTAATACTTTCTAGTTACTGAAAAAAAATGAAACAATTTTCTTTGCTACTTGTATACGAAGGCAGAACAATTTGCATAGGCCTTCATAGAGGATGTTTTATCTTAGAATATCATGTTCAAAGTCAAAGAAAAACGGAAATTTACTGACTTTTAAAATCACATACCATTCACTCATTAATTAATAATTTCATATCTGTTCTTTATTATGTTCTCATTTATTTTATCTCTCAGAATCATTTTTTTAAATGGAAGGAAATACACTATATAATGATGCTAAAAAGTAATTTTTTATTTTTTTAAAATTTTTTTGGTACCGGGGGTTGAAGTTGAGTCCTTGTGTTTGTGAGGCAGGCGGTGGATGCTAAAAAGTAATTTTAAACTTTGACACTATAGACTGTATTCAACAAACTATAAAAAAGCTTTCTATTCATAAAAGTGTAAATAGAAGAATACTGAAAGGATTGGTTAACAGTGATTAAGACTTGACATTATAGTTATTTTAGAATGAATTATGTACCCGTCAAAAATCAAAGGATTTTTTTCTTAACATTTATTTCACAAATTTTTTCTTCGTTATCTTCTTGCTTGTTAGGAGATATCAAATTCAATAAAGTCCTTAAATGGTCAGATTTAGGGTAGGATTTAGAGTAAAGGA